TGGGTGTTTTCCATCTCATATCCAGACATCCACACCCAGGGTGTGGGTGTGGGTGTGGGGTGTGGGTGGGTGTGGGTGTGGGTGTTTTCCATCTCATATCCAGACATCCACACCCAGGGTGTGGGGGTGTGGGTGTGTGGGTGTGGGTGTGGGTGGGTGTGGGGTGTGGGTGTGGGGTGTGGGTGGGTGTGGGTGTGGGTGTGTGGGTGTGGGGTGGGTGTGGTGTGTGGGTGTGGGTGGGTGGGGGTGTGAGTATGGGTGTGGGTGTTGATATTCACTCAATCAACACCCACACCCACACCCACCCTAGTTTCAGACGACCTGAATGATGGACCTGGGAATTTCTAATATAAATTGGACCTTATCAAAATTGAAATGCGATGCTATAATAACATCAATTTATATAGGAGATTAACATGACATTCTTACATTATCCACAATATAATTAGAATCGATAGTCTTTTATATAAAATCTAACTTAATAAATTATCCATCAAATATCAAATTTAATTTATCATATCATCACATAGTAACTTGATCAAATAACACAAAATTCTTCATGAATTATTTTCAATAAACTCAGCAATGAATTGTTATTATGAATTGATTCCTATCGTAAAAATGCTTCCATTTTTGTTTCATTTGTTTTATTGAACTAATAAAAAAAAACAGAACTTACAAAAGGATGTGAGTGTGGACCCCAATCCTCACACCGTATCATTAAGGACCAGTTTACTGTAAAAATAGAGAACCTCAGTATTGAAAATATTTTTGTATGAACTGTTCCTTTTAAGCCATTAGTTTTTATTATCGATTAGAATAAAACATTCTCTGAACAATCAAAGATAATTTAGGTAAACAGATGGTTTTTTCGAAATTTTTCATATGTTAATTAAGATGCTGAAAAAAGAAAACATATTTGGAAAAATCAACAATAGAAAACATAGTTATATTCTTCTAAGGGTTCTCTATATTCATTCAATTTGTAAACATATATTCGTTAGATAAATTACTTCTTCAACATTAGAGCATTTATTAAATCACAAAATATTATACTGTTTCTTTTGTGAATTGTTGATCCACAGTTATTAAATAAATATCAACGAAACAAAATCTATGAAGAAATAAAAAAATAAAAATCTCAGAATTTTATTATTTGAAACCAAGTTTTGTATGAATAACTTTGGATTAATATGAAAATTAGAGTTTAGTACCATAGAAAAAAAGAAACTTTGAAAACTGCTTTTTGTCTAATTGTATCCTTAAGGAAATTGTAAAATATCCATAATAACATAAAATAAAAATGTGTTTTCTTTTGTTTTAGTTAAGATTCAGTAAAATCAATGGATTAATCAACAAATGACATTTCTCCATTTGTTTTTATATTTATTGCATTTCATGAACTTGAGGACATGCACGCGTTTGAGCGATGTAGAGTTTTATATAGCAGATTGAGATCAAGGTATTATATTAAAATATAATATAACATTTGCGTGAACCAAAAAATAAAAGATAATTTTGAAAGGTTTTAAAAATATTGTATTTTTCATAAAAAAAAAACAAAAGATACCGTATAGATTGTTCAACACTATATGAAATTTAAATAAAGTTTTTTGATTGAATTTGCTCAACAAAAAAATTTAATATTGATTAATAAATGCAAGAATATTTTCTATCTTTTAGCAGTAACTATCACAGATGCATGTTACCAGACAGTTAACAACTGTCGTATACGATATCGAATATGAAATTAATTAGATCGGAATCATTTATTCAACTAAGAAATATAATACTCCAAAATTATTCTTACCAGTCATATCTATCAAAAATACTAACAAAAATTGTTTGATCTCAGTAATAATTGTTTATATTTTTTCTTCTAGATTGATAGTCTTTCGTTGTTATTATAGTTATTTTATAGAAGCAGTTATACAATGGGAAAAGCCGAATTGAAGATTATAGCTGAGAAGAACTATTTCTGTGAGTGTTATGTATGCCTCACTAATGGTAGCCTGCATTGTTTTGTGTTCTATTTCAGGCAAACATATCACCGAAGAATACAGAAAATGTCAAACTCAAGTGATATAATGCATGTAGCATTATAAGGATTCGTCTTCATATACTGTTTTCTTTCCAATAATTTTATTTTTTTCTTAATTGAAATCTAAGAAGAAATAAAATTATATTAAACTTTGCGTTATGATGTAAAAATATTTTATAATGCTTTATATCATGTTATACTTAGGAATTGCTGCTGATTGACATATCAGTACTTCAAATACATTTTGATAGTCTTCTTTTACTTTTACTGAGAATGTGCAAACTATTCTACAGACTAAATCGTTACATTTGATATATGCATTTTTGTAACCATTGTTTCTATCGAATATTTCCAGGGTGTAGGTGTCAAGGCAAAGAAAAAACACACTCGCACCCTTCTGAAAGCATTGAAAAACCTCATAATTACCACTTTAAAATGAATGGACATGTTTTTAAATAAATTTTCGACTATTCAGTATTGTTTTCTAACTAAGTCGCCACTATTTTTGCTACGCTCTCATATTAATCAGATCTACTT